CAGGTTCTAAGAATGCAATGAATATCATAACAAAGTATGCTGTTCAAACATGCCAAGAACTGAAAAAGTAAGCTGTTGCAGGTGGCACGATCTTTTTTTACATATTCTATGTAAACTGCTCTTCATTACGAAAACGTCTAAACCTCAGTACCTTGAATGGTTGAGATTTTCTAAACAAACGCTGCTCTAATAATAATAATTCATTCTTAATTCCTTAAATTTCAGAAAGTTGGTCGATCAGCTAGGATGTCTGATTAATCGGAGTGCATTATTAACCCTTTTCTTAAAATTTTACAATAATTGTTATTTCGACTTACACTATTTAATATATTTGTTTAATATGGCAATGTAGAAACTCTTTCAGATGACAAACGACAGAACTTTTCAAAATAAAGTTTAAAGGCATTTGAGGGAAAATATACTGCAATCTATTTCTACAACTTACGAAGTAAAAATTTGAAAGGCGGATTTTGCTTTTTGGCTTTACAATTTTTATGAAAAAAATAGCAAGAAAATAGCTTTTGAACAATGTTAAGTTGTTTTTCTCTTTATGGTTTCAGAGTTACCCTGGAAATAATAAAGACGATCAAAAGTAAATCTAAAACCATTTCAAATTTCAGTGAGTATAGAATCTTAAGCATCAATATCAAATAGCACAATGACAATGAAGACAATGAAGGTATTTATTTAATATAATCAGTTATTTTATGTTCAGAATCTGTCTTGTCATTTCTCCCTTTCCGCGTTCCTGCCAGAATGCTAATTTTAGTTCGCTAGTATTCAAATGAGATAGAAAGAGATATTATTTAAAGGGAGGTTTTACATTGCTTAGACATGCAGAGCGTGTTACGTCTGCTGAAGGCACGGTTATTAGTTGAAACTCAGTGATAGCAGCCTGTTTTGGGCGCTGCTTTGTTCGCGTGTTAATAATTTCTGTTTGGCTAATTTACGACTCAGTTTTAAATTGAAATTCATTATTTTTGTGTTACGCTATAAATGCTGACTGGTTTTATAAGCACAAGAAACGCCTTCTGTCCAATTAATAGAGGTCTTAATAAAAGGGTCTTTTACACCCTCCTTACACTATCTGTTTGTTTCCTAGACGTAGCGATAAGTCACTAGGCCCCATTCCAAAGTCTCGACTTTGTATCCTTCTGAAGAGACTGAGACTCTGTAACATTATCCGAAATATTAATCGAAATATGAAGACAACAAGTTGGATAAAGGAGGTGGTTGTTAAAGCTTTTCATCTTGAACAAGTAGTAGCAGTTGCATATTAGTTCAGAATATACTTTTTGAGGAATGACAGAAAAGAAGTTTACTGTTCTGCATTGAGCGTCTGCCAGATTTTTACTCATATTGACATGAAAACAAGCAATAGAGTACGATACGCACGTTCTTCCACCAGTAACTCATGCGACAATCTTGAAAAATAGTTCATACATATTTTAACTTATGAATGCTTAAATATGAAACATCTTCAAAACTGATTTTAATTTTCTTTAATAAGATTTGATTGACGTATTTCATAGGCAACAAGCGTATTTGAGAAGTAAATGTCATATTTTATTCCTAATGAGATGAAAGGGAAGTAAAAACGTTTTAATAAATATTTTAAATGCTTATTTAACTCATTATCGCGTCGTTAATTTTAATAAATTTAGTATGAATTAGTTTTAATAGAGTTTGAATTTCTTTGGTAGCATAAACTAGCATAAAACCCTAATAGACTTGGAGCGAACTATCGCTTGGTCTGAAGTTAACTACAGAGACTTGAGAAGTCTAAAATAGCATTTTTATCAAATCAGAATTTGAACTTGAAATGCATGTCTCGTACTTTACAAGATCAACCACCATTTGTAGCAATGTAGTAACAGTCAAATTCAAATTAAAACTTAACCTAGTAGCCAAAGACAACACAATTTAAGTTAAAACTAATATGGCTCAGCGTAACAATTAAATGTCAGCAGCAGTAACGCAAAGCCGAATAATTACAATCTTAAAAAAAGCTGGCGAACGTAGTAACGTGGCCTCGAGAGGCAGAAACACGTTCTGTCTTACAATCCCAAAACCTCAGTTTATACACTCTGTAATTGATTTACATTTCTGGTGAGGAAAAGGAGAAGTTACAGCAAAGGTCTAAATCATAACTGAGTAATTAAAATAATAGAAACCGTACAAAGTAATATGGAGTTTTGTAAAATATTAACTCGACATTTTGCTTTTCCTTAAATTTTTAAGACCAACTTCTGATATTGGAGGCAGATTTAATTGGGCCAATGGAAAACTCTGACGTATCTAAATATAACCGTAATTCAATGTATTTATCAAATAATTTTTTAAAATTTTGAATTAAAATTATTTACCAAATAAATATTGCTAACTTAAATCTTGGCTGTAAATAGCCTAATAAATAGCTGTTTAATTAATTTCTTTAACATCAAAGAATTCAATGGAATATCCAATCACAAAATGAATAAATCGTTGCTTGGGGATAATTGAAGATTCCTTCTTAAAGTATATAGGTGTAAAGTGTAAAGACAGTTTTCATTTTCTTGATTAGCTACATTTTCGTGATTACATAGGCACGATTTTTTTAAAATCTTCTAAGCAACATTTTTACTGAATTCAATAAACTGTATTCCCTTCAGTAACGTTAATGAAACTGATTTACATTTATTCAACTAAAAATTACTATGCATCAAGCAAAATATTAAAAAAGCTTTCAGATAACTAAATTTAAGAAGAGATGGGCGTTAAATGTTTGGTATAGTCATCCACAGAGCGAAAGTGGGTAGAATTATTAATTTACTACATATCGTATAATTACATTGAATATTTCGTCGCTGGCTATTGTATCAAGCAAATATTTGCTGCATACAGTAAAGCATTTAGTTTCTTTTGCATTGCGAATTAATCCCTTTTAAATTCAATGGATTAAATATTTAGGTATTCGAATAATACTTGAATATTTGCAAATTTTAGCTTGCCTGAACTTAATACACTAGTTCCATATCTTGCGCGACTAGTTGGTTCGTCAATCTTTAGCCTTATTCAGAAACTGCATATGATAAAAATCCTTGCTTATGTAACTTACGAATAACTTGGTTCTATCCTTCGGTACTTTAAGTCACACCTGTTATGCAGAACCAAATATAGAGTAAATGTTATATAGAAACAACGGCGAGGTGAATCCTGCAAATAAATAATAAGACAGTATTGAGACGCTTCGAGACGCTTTGACTATAATTCCGAGCTTGGATGTTTTCAATCGAACAGTGTATAGTCTCTGTAGCCTTGCTTCAAAATGTCAGGAGAGACAAGCCAAACATGGCATCAAACTCATAAAGTTTTTATGTGGGAGATCGTGGCCGATGATACGCCAGCCAATCAGAGATGAGACGATTACATGTGCGCAAGCCACGAATCAAGACAAAACGAAGTGAACTCACTCTAAATGCAAGAAAATTTGACAGTTTGCAAAATTTTCTTCCAGCTGTGTGATAGGCTCGATTATTTGATTGCAAATGTTATTTGGCTAAATGAGACTTTACTTATTACCCTGTTACATGAACTAAACTACAGATATTAGGAATTTCTTATTGTCTTAGCTTTGGATAGTCCCGATGTGTCTGATCTGATGTATGATTCGAGAAATCACATTTCTTCTGCAGAAGATTTTTAATTTATTGAAAGATATCATATTAACTTCGGTCTTTTGACTAAGCATCAGGTGTTTCGTGTTTTGAAGATATTTTGCTTGTAAGATCCAGAGCAATGCAGGGTTCACTGAAAATTGCTAGATGAGGGTTTTCAAGTATAGAACAACTTCACAGTTGTGGGGTTTTGTCAATAAATGTAAGGAAGCTGCTACTTCTTTCTCTTGGCTATGCTAACATCAGTAAATCATGTTTGATCACATGGATCATATTAAGGCTTCATTCCTTCAAATGATTATGATCTCTGATTACACCGTTCTTTATTAGCATAGACTGCTTAATTATAGGCATGTTTTCTAGCTTTAAATTTATCATTATCTCTTATCTTAAGTTTTGCAATCATAACCTGTACTGTTTTACTTGTATAGAAGCTTAAACCAATCCCCTGCAGAATCTACTAGATTGGAAGTAAATTACCGCTTCTGAATTCACTATTGACTCCTATCAAAGTCTGAATTAAGATGATAAAGTTCAGCGAAGGTTAAAATAACTTTTTATTAAATCTTTAGTTAAACAGCAGGCACAGATTGAGAGCACAAATAAACTCCGGCACTTGCAGGTATTTAGAAAAACATAAGCTGAAATAAAGTTTCAAGTACCTTAGTCAGAAAATTGTCTATTTAATCTAGCTCAGATATTTTAAATGGTGAGTTTTTAACGTCGCCTAGTAAAATGGCTAAAGCCACAATAAACTTTGTCAGAGCTTTCGATAAGTAAACTGTAAGCGTGGCTGCCAAAAGCTCTAACACTAAAACATTCAAAACTCTTAATTTAAATACTCTAACAACTAATTTTCATTCTGGTCAGGACTACGAAAAGAAGAAGTTACAATAAAGGTTTAAATCATAATAATTGGTAAATTAACTTAAAATACTTTCCACTCTCATAAAATATAAGCAATTTATCACGCTGGATGTCTCTGTATGCAGGGAGTATATTTCTACACGATGTGCTGTATCTAGCATTTAAAGTTTTGGTCTTTTCAAGCAATTCGTAATGAGCCCATGCAAAGTACTGGCATGTCAGTTTGATGAATTAACACGAACTTATTGTTTTCTTCGATTTAACATACGGTTTTTTCTTATTTCTTTCCTTCGACTGATGTCGTAGTTTTCGATATAGAACCTCAGCTGTGCATTTTATACAAAAAGGTAACACAAATTGTTTTTGGTGACATTCCTTCCAATAAGGTTTAATTTTAGGTAAAAATTCAATTTATAATTCAATACAGACAATATGAGAACAACTACGAAGAAGATCTTGATTTTAAATCTTTTTTACCTGTAAAGCAAGGATCCATAACATCATGGATTCATGATCTTCTGCCACCAGTGCATGTTCTCGGCCGTTGGAGCTGTGAAAGAATGAAAATTAGAGCTAACTACAAGAATTGATATCTAAATAGCTAGAGGGAATTATAATTAAACTCATTTAATAACTTAGAAATGCACCTGGTACTGACAACACTCACATCAGACATGGGGAACGATTTATGTTGAGTTAATATGAAGCGAATTAATTTGTAATCATGTTTCCCCTCTGATCATGTAATTTCTCAAACAAATGACAGAGCTTTATCCATCTCTTGAAATGAAAATATGAAACGTATATTACTCGCATTTGTTATCTGAATTTACAGTAACACGCGACAGAAATAATTATGAGGTTAAAGCATTACAAGTATCTAAATTACTTAGAGAAGATTTATGTTGAATACTTTTATAGATAAGACTAGACCTTGAAGCAGACAGGGTTGATACAAGGAAATTAAATGCCAATTAATAAAATAACAGGCATATTACGGCAACTAAATCTTTCATGAATCATGTCAAAACTATGGATCGTGTCAAAGCTTTAATTCCAGAAATGTTGTTTTCACCTTGAAAGTTTTTTTTACCCCTCCAAAATAAGTCTTGTCGATGTTAGAGCTTTCATATATTTATCTAATGCCATTAATTATAAGTAGAACGGGCACGTCACAATATTTATTATTAACCGCTAAAGCAAATGCAGTAAGTTATAATGCCTATGATAATACTTTGTAATTCTCATCTTCTTATATCTATTTCAGTGTGCTAATATTTCTGCTTGTCATGCCTTTATTGGATTTCTTATTTTTAAAAGGATATTGAAACTAATATCTAACTCAGGGATTCCCAAACATTTAAACTTTTATCACACTGAAAAACGTTTAAACTTTTAAAAATACATATACTATTTTCATTAATAAAGCTATACATAATGTACCATTAAAAGTTGTTTAATCACATAAAAGTGTATGGAAGAGAATTTGTTATTAAAATTAAATAAGCCCAACGTTTCATAACTCGCTTTGTTAATGCAAAACGTATAGCTGATGGTCTGTATTGGTGCAGATCTGACAGTTTAGCTCCAACCCTCATTTGGGTCCACTAGCGGTCGAGCGGTAAAGTCGCTGAATATTGGTAGTTTGGTCAGGAGTTTCCCGGCGAACGGGGCGACCGCATGAATGTTTTCGTGGGTTTTCCCATGTATAGCGTATATACAAGCCGGTTTCCCTTATAAAGTCCTCCACGAAGGCATTCCTCCCCCTAGGCAGACAATCATTGAGAGTTTCACCATAATTAAATAAACCAAATCAAAAAAACAAACCAAAGCCTCATTCACTTCTACGTTTAATTTGCTTCTCTGCTTTGTCATAAATGAATTATAGCTAAAATAGCATAGAGCACTGTAAGTCTCACTGGCAGAATGATCTTACATTCATAAAAGCTACACCACACAGAATTGACAGTGCATAGGATCCGCAATGCGTAGGATCGACACGACATACAAGCACAGGATCTATATCGAATAGAACTAAATACTTAGTTACTCGCACACGACTCACTCGACAAAAAAATATTTTTTTGATATAATCTAATCATGAGCTAGAGGATTGATGCACATTTGCCACTTTCACAGAATTGTCATTAACATACGATTAACTTTGCATACGGCATTACCGGCAGAGCACGAGACGGCGTAGGTCGACATGCATGTTAGTTAAATGTCAGTAGCATGTTAGTTAAATGCAGTGTCTATTGTATGGTCCAGCATACAATCGACACTGCGTTTAACTAACATGCTGTTTTTATGATAATACTTTCCTGTCTTTTCTACTTTTTCCATCACTCTCACTAGAATATAAATTAGATAGGATTTTAGCAGCAGCTAGCAATGGTGTAAATTTAGGGAAAAGCTTTTGGCAGTGCTACCAGAAAAAAAAACTGTCTGCTTTCGTTAATCTCCCATCTGCCTTCCAATATCGTTTTTGGAGTATTTTTGGTAATTGTTAGATTTATGTCAAATGGTCAATAATAAATAAAGCGGGGTTGAGTAGTTAGTTAACCAGTTTATTGTGCTTAATATATTAAAGGTTTTGTTCTCCAAGACCGCTCAAGAAGCGGTGAACAAGTTTTGTTAAAATTTAGTTGTACCTAAAAGTCGTAAAGTGAACAAACTTTTAATTTTAGTTTTACCTCTTGAGTGTATTTTTTAAGAGCTCTAGACTCTTCGCTCAGAGCGAGGCTGATCAGTCGTCTGTAGCACAAGAATGTTAAACTAGAAGTAATAACAGAAAGTTAAGTTTAACAATAGAAAGGAATCAGATCTGCAGTTTAATATCACAAAATGTTTTAATTATGCCATTTAATTAGGCTACAGTAATTTGAACAAAATAAGAAAAACTACGTCTTCCTAAAGCTAAATAAATTTCCACTATTAGATTCATTTAATCATTTTTATAAATCATAAAATTTTAAAATAGTTATAAGGCTGAGAGGCTTCATTCGCTTAATAATTTCAGCATGGCATAATGTCCTTTTAGATGCAGTCCTGCCTCTTAAACTCAGTACAAAAAAGATCTGACTCTAAAGAAATGAGTTGCTTTTAGACCATTATAAAGCTTCACGCTAAGTAACTTTATCCAATTAAAATTTTTATATTGGGAATGGAATCGCACTTAGGATGTCTTAGTTATCAGACTAGAGAGTATGTTATGCTTTCTGCTTATGCGTTTTCGAAAAATTGAAAAATTAATTTAACCCCAGTGAAATACGTGATGCATTATCTGAAGCATTTCGAAGATAATGAATGTTAAAGGAGATATATTTCATTACCATTAATTATTTTCTTTCGTTCATATGATTACCTGAAACTAAAAAGAAGTAACGAGTGTGCTAAGCCGTGCGTACAAACAATATATTCTAATTAATTCTCTTTGTTGAAGTAAGGAGATCGGAAATGATGTTTCATAATTGGATTTATAAAACGTCGTGAAGGATGTTTCTCAACTGGATTCCTAAAGCGTTGATACCTGAAGAAAGCAAATTTTCCATTGTTTAGCTTTTTACATTATATTCTTTGGTACATTTCAAACCAATTTCGATGGGGGCAATCAGAGTTGCAGCTGAATAAATTATGATTAGAACAAACCAACTCATTATTTTTTCAGACTCCCTTTCAGCCATTCAAGTGGTGTCTGCACATAATATTGTGGAATAAAAAATTATTGAACCTTAGAAAAGAACTCTTTATATCCTAGCTTCAGAAGGGATGACAGTTGTCTTACAAGAGATCCCGGTTCATGATGGAATGGGCTGATAAACTAGATAAAAAGCAACTGAAATTTTGCAATCAAATAATAGTGGGATACTATTTACATCAATAAAAAGGATAGTAAAATATCCCGAAGGAAAATTTTTAAGTTAAATTATTTGAAGAAATTAAGACTAAGAAGCGGAGGGATTCAATTTGTCTTATCCCAGACTTTCCCAGATCCATCGCAGTTGCGGCGTTTCGTTTGGAGACCGGATCTAATTGTCTCTCTAAAACATCTGCACCGCATTGGTATATATGACAGTACCTTGCGTATTTTGTGCAACCAGAAATTTGAGGTGAACTTGTAAGGATCTTAAGTTTTACTAACGTTTATTTTATTTTAAATCTTTACTATCACTTCTTATTTTCTACTTCCGGCCAGAATTATAAGCGTGAAGGAGTTTATGCAAAGTTGTCTGGCGAACGCAAAGTATTTAAGTGTGGCCTTTTTTGCCAAGAAAAAGAGAGGAAGCAGTGAGTTCGAAGCAGGCCGCTTACCTTAGAAGTTACGCAGTTGCTATTTGCCTTCCAGGCCAGAGGTATTAATCCTCTTGATAAATTAACGTATTGTAGTGTTCACAGTCTCTGTGCTACTTACGCTTCCTGTTATTATAAGGCCAATCTTATTCTAAAGTTAAATTTGAGTTTAGTTTTATTTTAATATCTTTTACGTTAGACCCCGAGTGGAGGGTCATTGTATTCCGAAGTACGGAAGTCATTGTATATAAAGAAAAAATAAAGGCTTTTTGTATACCCTTTCGTCTGTATCCTGTCTACTTACTACAATTAGTGAACATAGCTTTAGTAAGCTCTCTGTTCTAGTCAGGTCATTGTATGATTCCGAAGAAGGTTAGAAGAAACAATTGAACCTGATAGTGGCGCCCGACGAAGAATAACCATGGCCGGTTTCAGGAAGAAACCTGTGCTGCCTGCAGAAACGACTCAGAATCCAGAAATGCCAGCTGCCGCCCTGGAAGGATTTGGGTACATCGTCCAGACCATGCGCGCTCGCTTCGATGAAACCAGAAGCAACATTTAATGGAAACTCACCGGTAACAGTTTTTTGGAAAAAATTGGATGACCACTTCATGCTCTACCCCGTGCACGAGTTTCAAAAAGTTACCTTAGCTACCAGCGCTTTGAGGGGCCAAGCGCTTAACTGGTTCAAATGTATCGGCAGAAGTCTCTTGGGTCAAGCAGGAAGTCCCACCTTATACTTACGAAAATTTCAAGACTGCCCTACTAAAAGCCTTCCCTGTTGTAAGGGATCGTGCGAAATTAGAAACAGAACTTTTCAGTATATATCAACAAAGAATGGAAAACCTCTCGAGCTTTATTTTAAGGAAAAATTCACGTTTTCAAGCTCTTGTATGGAAACCGTCGGATCCTGAAATAATTCAAGTAATTTTGCCGAGGTTACTACCCCAAGTGCAAGACTTTATTGAATTGAGAAATCCGACTACACTGGAAAAATTATTTGAGCTAGCAATCCAGTTTGAAAGTAGAAGAACGGCGGACGTCGAAAGAAGACGCCAATATCAACAGCGAAACCAATTTGGTACGCCAAGACTACAGCAAACTCAAGCACATGGCTACGGAGAAAAAGCGAATCAGTGGGCAAGGAAACCCGAGCATTCAAAAAACAGCCGGCGAACGTCGACAGTTCAATAGCAAACCCAGGAAAAAAAGTCTCAAGGCCAGTGGAGAAAGAAGGAAAGCACCGAAAGAAAAAAT